CCACACATTCTGCAGACTATGGGGACTCAACCAAGCCTACGTCTCCATCCTAATGCTTAGCCTCACTCTTCGTGTGCTCCCCAGGAGTGTGGGCAACAACTTCATCTAACACCTCCTTCCTTCCTAGTTTATATGTAGATTATTTATTTAACCAGTCCAGGGGCTTGCTATAAAGTCCGTTTATATAAGCAGATGAAGAACCCAGTTCCCCGGATTTCAAGGCCCAAGGGGTTAGGGTCAAGACGGAAGACTACTGAACCGAGTGGAGCTCCTCTTCCCTGTAAGCCCATCTCAGTGAACTGTGCATTCCTCGATGGTCATTTCCAGACTCAGTGCTTTGGCTAGATGGAATTAAAAGCAAAACATGGAGACACTATAAAAGCCTTAATAAATGGTGCAGGGCCCTTCTCCTCATGTCCCTTGAACAGAAGAGGAATGTGACAGGCCAAGGGAGCCAGCACCTTCCTCACGAGCCATTCCTCAGATAGAGTGGGAGAGCTGGAGTGTCCCTGATTTAGGAAACAAAGTCTATTGGTCATCTCACAAACAATTTAAAAAAAAAAAAAAGGACTGGACCATTTCAGAGAGGGATTAAATGAAGAAAAATTCTGCTTGTCTGTTGATGGCTTGTTTTTAATTAAGTGGACAATTTAGCCCAAGAATTCATTAGTTCTCAATTGTTGCAGTCTCTTACAGTCTCTTTGCCATTCAAACCACCCCACAGACTTCTTTGCATTATTCCTCTATCTTCCCCCAGGGTGGGGGCTGGACTTCATGCTTCTGTCTTTTTCTGGGAACCTAAATGTCATTAGAGTGAACCTCCTCCAATCCCAGCACATTCAACCCCCTCTGCCTTTAATCTATGAACAGAAATAAAGGCTGTGACTCAGAAACTCCTAAGGACCCTCCTCCCCTCCAGTGAATTCGTAGAATTTAATGAACAATCTGGACCAATCCAACTCGCAGGGAGCAGCCCAAAGCATCTCCCACGTGCAGAAGTCAAGGCCAAAGAATAGCTAAAGTGGGCCAGAGGCCCAGGAGCCAGTTCAGCTAATGAGGACTTGGGCTCTAGTGTTTGTTTCTTCAAGAGTAACCTAAACATACAATATTTATCATTCTTTCTGGTTGAGTCAGGGAAGAAGCTGAGCTGGCCACTTCAGATAGGCCATCAGCTACGGGTTTCGAAAAGGCGAAATCCCCACTGTTGCGTATTTTTTGGTCATGTTTCAGAAGCAGCAAACAGCTGCTGCTCTCGCTAACTCAGCACATGACGGCCTCCTGCAGGCGCTGGAGCTGGCATTGAGCTGAAGTTACTCTTCTCTAAGGCTACAGGGAAGACTCCAAGTTCCCAAGCACCGGTGAGAGACAAACACCCAGAAGAGTGGCAGGACCAGGGGATCTGTCTGTGACACACAAAACATGGCAACAGTATCTAGGTGTCAGACCAGCCTGCTGCATCACAAGGGATCTGCTAGCCAACGTCTCCCTTGCTGCTTTGATGACATTATCAGCCATGTTGGAGAGCCTAGTGGGCAGGGATTGAGAGCCACCTCCGGTCAAGTCAGAAAAGAACAGGGGTCTGTGATCCAGCAGCCCTGCAGAAACCCAGCTGGGCCACAACCACATGAGTGTGAGAGCGACTCAGTCTCCCTCCCAAGCCATCGGGTGGGACCCCAATACTAACAGACGCCTTAACCCCGAAGCAGAAAACCCAGTGACAAGGCATTGAGGCCCCTGATCCCCAGCAACTCTGAAATAGTAAGTGGGCAGAAGCTATGACATTTTGAAGCAGTTTGTCACACTGCTAGCTACCTAATGCTGCAGGCCACCTACCTAACACATGCCACTGCTAGGCACCCCTTCCCCGATCCCAGTACTATCACATTGGTTACAACACGGTCAATACCTGCAGCCCTGGACCACTACCACAGCTTACCATTCAACAACTAGGCACCGAGTACAACACTTAGCGTGCAGTAAGGGGTGCTTCCCTTGATGGAATATTTGTGTTAAGCTGAGGGCGAGGGAGGCTGAAAGCTGTTGCCTTTGGTTTCTGGCAGAGGTTATGTGTACCTTAAAAACAAGCAAGAAGAAAACACAGTGGGTCAGTTGAACCTCCTGCAAAGTGGTGGCACACGGCCGGGCCAAGAAGGCAGATAGAGCAGATTCTACTTCTGGCCATGAATCTGAGCTTGGGCTCAGTTTCCGAGTGCTCCTGTTCTCAGGAGTGGATGTACAATTCTAGGAAAGGACACTCTGGGGGAAGATGCCTCCACTCTCCATCAAGAAGACATGTTGTAGTGGCATTTCAATTGTAATTTAATAAATAAAGACCGCCTGAAGATCTGAGAGTTACACAGTCCCACTGGTCAGCCTTACAGTCCAGGTTATGGTAACACACACCTTTAATCCCAGTAGCCATACTATTTGCCATAGAAATGGGGCGGTTCATGCCTTTAATCACGGTGGTGCACACCTTTAATCCTAGTCCTAGGGAGGATTATTAAAATGGGAGGAAACAGCTCTCAACACACAGTCTCATTCTGAGATTCTGGGAGGCAGGATCGCCATTTCAGACTGAGGTTGAGGTAAAAGCCAGGGGCTGGCTGTTTTGCTTTCTGTATCTTCAGAATGAACCCCAATTTCTGACCCTGAGTTTTTATTAATGGTGCTTCATTTGGTGCCCAACTTTTTGTGGCACAAGTTTACAAAAAAAGCAATTTGCCTGAGGCTTTTTAGCCACCAGCTCAGGCCAGGGCTGGGACTGGAATTCCAGCTCTATGAATCGGAACCCAAACCTAGCTACCTGGGTTTGGGAGAAAAACTAATGCTCCCAGCTCCCATCAGCTCCAGCTTAGCTTCCATGTAAAGATGGAAAACACACAGAGCATCTGGATACTGTATATTAGTATGTTGTCTTTGAATTGTTTGACTGCTGTGGAAGGAACAACAGCTGCTCAAGGACATTTGATTATTAATGTTGCTGGATTAATACAACCCATATATTTTGAAAATGCCTTGATTTCAAATTTTAAGTCAAAAGATATGTTACTTTGGAGAAGAGGTTTTGCTTTTATTTACACAGGAAATGAGAGGCTGTGGATTCATTCTGGGTTAAGAAAAATAAGGTTTGATAGAGGAAGACCCCTGAAAAATCTGTAGTGGGAACAGATGACCCAGATGATCTAACGTGTCAGAGCAACATTTGTTACAGTTCTGAGTTCTGAGTTCAACATCAACAGCTTCAAACAGCCTCACAGAGTACTCCAGTAAGTCAACTGAGACACTAGCACTGGGTGGTATTCCAAGCATAGGAAACCTCAAAGCCCGCCCGCACAGTGACACACTTCCTCCAACAAGACCATGAGTAGTTGAAATATAATTTGCCCACATAATCTCATAGGGAGTGGCACTATTAGAAGCTGTGACTTTGTTGGAGTGGCTGCCTTGGGAACCACATGAAATGACTACCCCATATTGTGGACCTAGAAAACTACTGTGTCCCAGGCTGCTCCAGAGAGATTGTCCTCTGTCCAATAATCTAAAGAAAGAACTGGGAACCTTCTAGAGCCTTGTGAGGTTTTGAAAACCCAGCTCACCAGTGGGAGGGGCAAGCATGTGCTCTCAGGCAGTCATGATAGAGGCTAGACAGCATACTGCACACACAGATGCATGCACATGGCACACATGTGCATGACAGAAGCTTCAAAGAATACACAGAAAAACCTAACAGCTATCTACATGGGAGATCATACATGGCCTGTTTCCTTTATAGTTTCCGATGCATTCCCTTAACACGTTTACAATAAACAGTTATTGTTATAGTCGGGATGAGAAAGCAGTAGCATCTAAGGAAGAAATCAGATAGGCATTTCCTAGGACTGCGGTCACAAAGCGCTACCCAGGACAGGAACTTCTTCATCTGTCATTCAGGAAGCTAGATTTGTGAAATGTAGGTGTTAGCATGGCTAGCTTCTTCTGAGGTTCCATGCCTCTCTCCCAGCTTTTAGGAAGTGCAGCAATCCTTGGTATCCCTTGGCTTGTAGCCACATCCTTCAATCTCTTCACGAAGTAAATTCCCTAATCCATCTGCAAAGGCCCAATTTCCAGATAAAGCTACAGGATTTAGAATTTCAGCAGATCTTATTTGGGGCAGGAATCATAATTCAACCCACAGGAAAACATAGACACTAAAAAACAAAGGGCTGCAGGCCTTCTCTTTAAATACCAGGTAGCTATCATAGTTTGAAATGGTTAGATTGGATTGTGTGGCTCACAGGAGAATAAATGAGAACAAGATGTGGATAAAAGACAGTTGATCTTCCGACAGGAAGCTGAGCTGTTCTGACCTAGACTTGAGTGGCAACCCCTTGTTCCTGAAAAGATGGCATTTGGATGGCACAGCAAACTAAATGATGTAAAAGGGTCCTGATGGTCTACAGCATATACAGCATTGCCACCCGGGTACTGTCTGATCAGCTGTACCAGCTCTGCTCCATCCAGACCTGGGCAAATCCTGACCTTATCAGAGGCAGAGCAACCTGTCAGTCATTTCCCCCTTCTTCTGTTTCCAGAGAAACTGGAGGCAGAGGGTACATGTTCAGAGCTGCACAGGGAAAGGACCCAACAACCAAAGCCATTAGGATTATGGGAGACAGAGAACCCCAACACACCCACACCTGACACCAAGGGTATTCCCAGCCCTAACAGCACCTGGATCCTCTGTCCCTCGGTCAGACCCATCAGAGGCTAGCACCCACAGACCGCAGTCAAAACTGCTGAGAAAATAGGCCATGATTTGTTTAAATACAGAGAGGATTGCCCTAAGAATAACATTTATGTAAGAAACAGCAGTAATGTAGCAAGTTAAGCTTGTTTATTATTTTTCTTAAACAGGCAAATCTTCTCTGTGATGGAAACACTGCTCCAAAAAGCCCTTTCTTTTCACCCAAAATGCAAAGCATGGCACGCCCCCCCCCCACACACACACACACACTCACCTCTCCACAGGGTCCCTGAGCATAACAATGAGCTTGGCTTCAGGCTGAAAGGCGTGAATGAAGTCTTGGGTCAGGAATGGTGGCTCACCGTCTGTGCTGTTGTCATAGAAGAAGGTCCAGGCATTGTTATCCCACATCGTAGAGGCGCTGGCCTCTCCTGCAAACAGACAGGGAGCAGATGCTGGGCCATAGAGTACGGGCTCCCACTGTGAGCCAGAAGCCAAGCCTGGCTACTGTGCCTTTCTCTTGAATAGCCATGACCGGCAAGCTTATAGGCCATTGTTAGCAGATGGGGGACTCATCCAGGGATCTGATGAGAAGACAAAGGGCACCTACCTACCTCTGCCGTGCCGCCAACACCTCCACCCCCACCCCCAGCTTCCTCCTTCAGGAAGAGCAGAAATACAACCTTTACTAACACTTAGGACCTCAATTTCACAATATTTGGCTTTGCTGGCAGCTCGTAGCTCTGTGGCATTTTGAAGGGCCCACTGAGAACCTATTAGACGGTTTCCTTCAGAATGTGTCAGGAAGAGAGTCATCTGCCGAAGCCGACCCTCAGTGGGAAGTTGGACGTGGTTCACATCTATCTTTTCTTGGATCCATAACAGCTAGCCACAGGGCACAATCTGGGACCAAATGGGAGGAAGCCTTCGCCAGAAGCCCAGGGGGTCTCAGTCTCAGTCCCCCCACTTGCCTGCATGGCCAGCTGTCTACTGCCCACACCTCAGCCCCTGCTCTTTATCCAGTCAGTACTCTGTAGGACAGTTTAACACTGTTTAATTAGGGTCCTGACAGGAGGATGGAAACAGTCAACACAGCTTTGGGGAGAGAGGTGAGGCCAAGACACGGGCACTTAAACAACAGAGACTCTTGGATAGTTGAGCTAATTCTTGTTGTTGTTATTACTGTGTATGAGTGTGTGAATGTATGTGTGTGTGGGGGGTCTGACACCTGAACTCTTAAGTGAACATGTATGTGTACCTGCTTGTGAAGACCAGAAGTCAACACGGAATGCCTCCCTCTATTTCTCTATCTTTTTGAATCTGGGTCTGTCACTGAACCCTGAGCTTGCGAATTGCCTAGACAGACTGGCCAATAAGCCCTAGGGGTGCTCCTGCCCCCACCTCCCCAGCATTGAGATTACAGGAACACACAGGGATGCTGGAAATCCAGGTCCTCATGCTTCTGCAACAGGTGCCTTGCAGATAAGCCATGTTCCCAGTCACATTTGTCTTGTCATGTTTTGTGACTGTCTGTAGAGATGTAGAAGGACAGGGACTCCAGGGACCTAGTGAGAGGACATCGGGCACCCACCCTTCCATAGCCACCACTACCCCCAGCCTATTTCTTCAGGATGAACAAGCCAGTCAGCTCCGCACTTGATTCCTGGACATGGACCATGTGCCACATCTCAGTGTTACTCATTTAGGGACCGTCAGAGTTACGGGGTCTTCCTGGTCAGTGATAAGCACATTATGATGGGATAGCAGGCCCTGTGAGCACACTGTGGACGTGTGTGAAGACAGTAGTGAGCACACTGTGGACATGTGTGAAGCCAGCAGGCCCTATTCCGCTGCTTGGTCTGTGATCGCGTCAGGAGAACACTTCTATCCCAGGCTTCTTTCCTTTCTTAGTTTATTTTTTAACAACATAACTAAGAGAGAAAAGACAAGTCAAACCTTTGGCAAGTCAAGTCTACTCACAATAAAGAAGAGACTATGAAATGCAGGTGGAGACTATAACCTGAACCTGGCGCTAATTCTGCCAGATCTCAAAAGGGAGCTGGTTCTAAAACCGGGCAGGCATTGGTCCATCTTCCCACCTGTCTGTCCACCCGGCCTTCATCCACCCAGAAAGCACCCGTTTGACATGAGATTCATGCCCCACATTGTCCTGGCACAGGAGACTGATGAGGCTAACGAGGGAAACAAAACTGGCATAGACAGTCTCCTCTAAGAGGTGACCTAAAGGTCAAGAAGCCATCAGTTGCTAAGGGAGTGGACAGGGACAAGTCACCCAGGACCTTTCAGCATCCCCAGCCCCACAGAACTTGACTGCTTTAGTCCTGAGTCCCTGAGTGTCTCGTCTTCCAGAGGCTGCTAAGAAGAAGGGCCTCCTCTGACCCAAGGCCCCTCTCCCAAGCTGAGGTGACCCTTTGACCTCTGCCAAGGTCTCCACTGGGGGGGAGGAGGAGTTGAAAAGGGCTGAGTCACATTCCCGGGCTGGGGGAAGCAGGATCCTAAGCTGGTCTGGCAACCCTATCTTACAGACCTGTAGGCTGGGATGAAAACAAAGCCCCAAAGTGGCATAGAGCTGGCTGGTGACAGGGAGAGCCAGATGCCAGCTTGTCATCTGCTTCTCCACACTGCCTGTCACACCAAGAGGCTATCCTCATACATAGCACCAAACCTGGCTTGGAGTAGGTATCAATGTAGTATTTTTATTTCTTGTTCTTTTTGAAATAGAGCAGTGACTATAAATAGGAACCCAAACGAAGGCTCTCCTTTCTCATTCATTTTCTAAGTCTGTTTCTTGGCTGTGGTAGGAATATTTTTAGCTCTTTCATAGAGCCTGAGATTTCCCCAGAGGCATATGGTATGGGAGTCTAAGAAAAATATTAATTAGACTTATTAAATAGGGTGTTTGCACCCGAGTTGGAAATTAAAAAAAAATAACTAACAGCCAATTCATATTGTAGGTATGAGTGTAAAATACATTCCCAATAGATCCAGAGATTTTACTTATGAATTTGAAAAAAAAAATCGATCCATCCATCAGCCCAGGCTTTGGCAGATGCCAGAATCTCCTCACAGAGGCAGGAACAGGGTCCTCACGCAAGCAGCTGGTCACAATCCATCCATCCTGCTCACCCAGAGATTCATTTGGTTTAGAGAATCAAAATGTAATGGATCCAGGAACACAAAATAGATCATTGCCTCGGGGAACCAATTTAAGTGAAATGTATGATTCAATTTCCCCGTTTCAGAAGGCGTTGGAGATAAACGCCTCGTCCCAAGCTAAATCTGATGAAAAGAGTTCCCTCGGATGAAAGGAGTCTAGCATCTAAAGCACAGGGTTGGGGCTGGAAGTGGCGACGCCCTGCTGTGTGCCATCATTTGGGCTTCAGGTACTCTCACCATTTGAAAGACTGCAAAGGCTAAAGGGAGGAAGCTGTGAGGAGACAACTACGCTCATTTGATTAACTGTAATAATCATCTCATTAAGTGTACATACCAAAATGTGTACATCTACATAGAAACATTTATTTTTATTTCAACAAAACATTCTTGCAAATTTTTTACATCAAGCAATCTCAGTTTGTTTCGTCTTCCATTGCTTTATTTGTTTGGCTTTGCTTGGTTTTGCTTTGTTGAGACAAGCTCTTGCGCAAGGGCCAAAGCAAGCCTCAAACTCAAGATTCTCCTGCCTCCACATCCTGAGCACGTGCCACTCTGACAGCTTCATCTTGAGTGCTCGAAGGCTCTTGGGTTGCACAGCAGCTCATCCCAGAGGATAGCAGAGCTCTGCTGAGACCAAGAGGAGATGCCGTGTCCATCCCACAGTCCTCGCGTTCAGCCAGGACTAACCCCAACCAGGGCATTGTGGGAAGAAGTAAAGCACTGCTGCTCAGTTTAAGGAGCAAAAAAATGGCAACTTCCTTAAAAAGTCGTTTCAGCATCCATGAGTCTGCACAGAATAAGCAAGCTGATTGAATGCTTCTGCTTTTACAGATGGTGTGACTGTTTTACTTGGGGTAAGAGTGAAAGCCATGTGGGGAAGGGATTCACCTGTAAACGCTCTGCAGGTGAGTCAGAGCTGGACCCAGAACATGGACCAGGACCCCAAGGAGGCTGCTTCTGCCAGCTCCCCTGAAGCTGCACAGAAGCTATACCTACCAATGATGATTTTGTTCATCTTGCTCTGGTCCTCTGCAGAGGCAGCCTGCAGCCCTTGATGGATCTGGTGTGCGGCCAAGTCAAAGAGGTCCAGGTAATCTTCCACAGGGTAGCGGTCTCGTAGTCCGTCCCTCAGGCGGACAATTCCTACAGGAACCGAGACGTGAGTTACTGGCCGGGTGGTGGTGGCTCACGCCTTTAATCCCAGGACTAGGGAAGCGATGGCAGGCAGATCTCCATGAGTCTGAAGCCAGCCTGGTCTACAAAAAGTGTTCCAAGATAGCTAGGGCTACACAGAGAAACCCTGTCTCAAAAAGGCAAAACAAAACAATACTTAAAAAAAAAATCTGAGTTACCGAAGATAACATTGTCACTGATAGGGTGCTGGCCCCCTGGAGCATGACCAGAGAGGGAGGAAAAGGCCAAGGGTACCTAACTTTAGCAGCAAAAGGCTTGATGCAGATTAAGTTTCCGGAGGAGGCACAAGGGAGTGGGATGGAGAGCTCTGTCAACTGCCTACCTGCCTGCTTCAGTATACACACGCCTCACAAGGTAAAAGGTACCACCACTGCTGGGCAGTGGCCACTTAAAAGAGGCCACGCCTACTCAAGAGGTAGAAAGGCGACTAGAGTTGAGAACTGAGTCATATTTTTACCAAAAGAGACTAAAGCAGCCATGCAACAGTGGTGCCTAGGATTTGAATGGCATGCCAAACATGAAGAAGGACAAAAGAAAGATAGCAAGGAAGCAGCCTCCTGTCGCCTGCATAGTGCCTCTTTCTTCGGTGCCCCATGGTATCAGATGCTCTGATACAGATGCATTCCATCGAGCACCCTGCTACTTGCCCAAACAGTAGGGTGAACTGATAGTGCCCCGGATGGACACGGATTATGGCATCAGCTACACATATCTGAAACTTGTTCCCTGCCTTTAACCAGCCTGTAAACATTTAAAAACATGCACAGGCCAGCACCACAGCTACCAAAGTTACTGGAAAGTAGGAAGTAAAAGTTCTGGCCAAAATAGCAAAAGATTCAAGGTGATACTGAATATCAGAAGCTGAGGCACGCTATGTCCTTTCCTCCTTCCTGCCGGGGGGAAGGGGGGCTGGTTCTCTTTAGGGGGAACATCGGCTGTGGTGGGAGAGTATGTGTTCATACACAAATTCATCAAATGCCTTAGGAAGAGGGACCTTGGCTACTCAGCAGCTACTGCTAAACCACTCCTGAAGGAATAACAAAAGGAGAAAGTCAAACATTTGTCAGGAAAAGTTAGTCTAAGGAAAACATCTAAGATTCTCTTCTAGTGACCTGGGTCCTTTATATGGAAACTACCCTCGTGGCTCGCCCAGACTTTGGCAGACAACAGGCCATGTATCACCCATTAGCTTGAGTGACCAAATGTCTCCTGGCAGAAGGAAAAGGTTATGGACAGGAAATAGTGACCAAGGGCCACAGGGTGCCTGGGCCTGGGTGGAGCAGAAACCAGCATACAAGGAGGGGCAGAGCAGGCGGGGTCCACCGTCAACCTTGGTGACCAGGGGGAATATGTGTTCTCACTGCATTTCAAATACATGAGGTAGACAGGGCAGGTCCCTCAGTTGAGACCAGAAGCTGTGTCTCCTCCAGGTGTGTTGGCTTCAGTAAAGCAGCCCAGAGCTGGGTGCCTGACACCCCAGTTCCTGGCATGCATTGATCCCTGCTAAGTTTGTATGTTAAAGTTCTCTGGGACAACTAAAACCCTCAGGAACACACACACATACACACACTCACCACCACTACTACCAACACCACCAATAGAAACAAATTCCCATTCTGCACCAGCCCCTTGCCCTGCACACACTTAGCACTCAGCCAGCACTCACTGGGTGTGCCTTTGCCTGTGAAATGGGGCGACAGTTTGAGTGTATCCCCCAGAGGTTCATGTGCTGGAATCTTGGTAAGGCTGGCACCCAGGGTGGGATGCTGAGGGTCATGGAACCCTTTAAAAAGCAGAGCACAGTAGAAGGTGATTTGCTTCCGGGAGCTCTGCCTGGAAAGTTTAATGCTGCTCTCTCGGAGTGACTTTGTTCCTGAGAGAGGTTTACTATAAAGCCAGGCCCCACCATGAACTTGGCCTCTGTCACATACGGGCTCGTCACATTTTCCTTTCTCCGCCATCTTGTAATGCAGCCAGCAGCCTCTCAACAGGACAGCAACAATGTGCTTTTGGGAACCCCTAGAACTATGAACCAAATACATTTCTTTCCTTCTAAGTTACCCAAACGCTGGTGTTTTGTGGTTACGCCACAAAACAGATTAACGCGACTGCCTACCGACAAGGATCCACGTCTCTGAATCTCGGTACATCTTCTCTTCAGAACCTCACACCCATCCCTCACCAGTCATGACATGCATCCATGCAATGACTAAGAGAAAGTGAGATCCGCCACTCACCAAAGCGCTTCCGGGTCCACCAGTGGGGCTCCTTGATGGCTGAGAATTTCACTTCCGGATGCAGCCGGAGGCGATCATAAAGGTCAGTAGTGCCACACTTGGGTTGTCCGATGATATAGAAGTGTGGCAGGCAGCGCAGGCGGAAGTGCTTGCCATGCACATGCGACAAGTGGCCCCAGAAGACTTTCCGGAGAGCGTCAAAGGTGGAGCGGAAGCGCTTGGAATAGAGCACGTAGGAGTTGGTCAGGTAGGGGTCAGTGGTGTTCCTCCCAGAGAATTCCTCGTACCAACACGGACTCTTGCTGTTCGGAAGGAATTTATTGGGGATTACAGAGAACATCTGCAATCAAAGAAAGAAGGAGACAGACACAATGAAGGACAGCAATCAGCAAGAACATGTTCTAAACTCGGAGACATAGTGACACACACCTGTAAGGCCAGCACTTGGGAGACAGAGGCAGGTGGGTCTTTGTGAGTTCAAGGCCAACCTGGTCTACAGAGTGAGTTCCGGGATAGCCAAGCTACATAGAGAGACCCTGTCTGGAAAACAAATCTAAAGGATGGGTCTGGGGAAGTGGCTCAGCACTTAGTGTATACTGCTGTCAGATCAGAGTTTAGTTCCCAGCTCCCCGCCCGCATCGGGCAGCTCACAACCGCCTGTAACTCCAGCTCCAGGGCATTCGACTTCCACTCTGGCTTCCAGGGCACCTGCCCTCACATGCCCATACACCTACACAGGCACACACAGGCACGTGACGAAAAAAATTTAATAATCATTTTCTTAAAAATACTAACTGCGGGTTAAAGTGACTTTAACCACAATGACCCCATTCCAGGCAAGAAGTACCCATGTGCAATGATGAAAAGAGATGGCCTTAAATATCTCTGGTACGGCCATTTGAGACAGCAGATTCCCTCCTTGGCGTGCCACAGCATAATCACAGAGCGCTATCTAATCCCAGAGGCTATCAAATTAATTTTCTGTGCTGTAGACACCTAGGAAATGTCTTTCCTATTCCACCTGTGCCCCCTAAGATGGTGGAAGAGAAGGAAGAAGCAACCATTCTTCGAAAGCCAATCATCAACAATGACTCAAGACTACTCACATGCAATTCCTGCCTCTTGAGATCTTGTAAGTCTGGGAGCTGCCTGGTGGTAAACTCAATCCTGGCAGCGATGCTGTCAATAATTAGCTTAACGCTTGGGTAGTCCTTCACATAGGAGATGTTGTTTATAGAAGGTTGGTAGTGATGCTCTTTCATGTCACTGGGGTTCTCACTGTCCATCAAGCTGGGGTTGCTGGGGAAACTCCCGTAATGGAAAGGAGATGAAATCAGAAGCTCCTGGTGAGCCCCGGAAAGGAGATAAGAAGCCATCACCAAGGTCATGATTATCAATCCAAAGACCAAGCTACATCGCTTCCCCTTCCTGAAGCGCAAAAACCCACCCCAGTTCTCACTGCCCTCAGTCCTCACTTCAAGAACGGCAAGCAAGTTCATCTGCCTACTGTCCACGCGAAACAGAATCTTGTTTTCCCCTTTGCAAGCGGGGCACACTTGATGGCCCTGATGGGGGCCTCCTTGGCAGGCGGCTTGCTGCTTGTGTGTGTCCTCAGGAAACAAGTGTATGCAGCAATTGATGCAGTGCCTCATGGTAGAGCCCTTGGACAGCCTGCTTAGAGAGCCATGGACCAGCCCTCAAGGAGTTTGCTGGGAAAATGTAAGGATATCCTGTGATGACCAAAGATGGTAAAAGGCACGAGCAACAGAAACAAATGCAAAAGAGAGCAGACACCAACGCACTAGAGAATGAGGCACATTCTTTGGTTCAAATACGGAGGTCAATACCAAAAAAAAAAAGCAAATCCCAGTCGTCTGTTCTGCACCAGCCACACAACACTGAAGCAGCCGTAGGTTTGGAAGCAGTTCTGCTTGTGTTTCAGGTTTTTCCCAGGGCACCAAACAAAGTGGGAGTGGCATCCGTGGAGAGCATGGAGCCACACTGGAGATTAGAAGACATCATGGGATCCTCATTGATGGGTAGACTGGCATTCCTCCGGAATGTTTGCTCGTCGTGGGGAGCAGACTCTTATGAATGGCAGGTGACCTAAACATAAAAAAAAAAAAAAAAAAAAAACATAAGTTGTATTGCACTGTGTGGTAACTATGACAGTACAGGAGTTGCTTCCCAGAGAAGGGCAGATGTTTAGCTGCCTCTTCCACCTGCCCATTTCAACCATACTTACTTGCTCGTAAGCAAGTCACACATCATACAAGGTAAATGGAGATGTTTAGGGTCTTTGTGCTTGGATTTAGGGTTCATTCTCTGTCACCAAATGTGACCCCCAAACACCACACTTAGCATGGCTGATACACCCTTCACACATCTGAGCTATAACATCGCAGTATCTCAAGCTTGTGTAACTACAGTGGGTTCATGCACAGTATTAGTTAGGCTTCTGCTGCTATAATGAAACACCAAGACCAAAAGCAACTTAGGGTAGAGAAGATTATTTCATCTTATACTTCTCCATCACAGTCCATCACTGAAAGAAGTCCAGGCAGGAACTCAAGGCAGGAACCTGGGGGGAAAGAACTGAAGCAGAGGCCGTAGAAAAACACTGTTTCCTGGCTTGCTCCTTGTGGCTTGCTCAGCCTGCTTTCTTACACAACCCAGGACTGACAGACCAAGGGTGGCACCACCCACAGTGAGCTGGGCCACACAGGTCATTCTTTAAGCAAGAAACTGCCCTAAAAACATGCCCACAGGCCAATCTGATGAGGGAGTTTTCTCAATTGAGGTTTCTCTTCCCACTTAACTGTAGCTTTCGACAAATTGAGAGAGAGATCCAAGACCATCAGTGAATTCCAATTTGAGGCATGAATCAAAACACCATTTTTACCTCAATGATACATGTGAGGCGTGTAAGGAAGGGGATGGGAACAGCGAGGGAAAGTGGAGGGAGGCAGCCTGTCTCCTCACAGCTTCTCCGTCTCTCCACCACAGCTTAAGAAGCAAAAGTTAATGAAAATTCAGCAACAATGAAATGATCGTCTTCTTCAGTCAAGTGTATCACATTTAAAAAAAATTCTGACTTCAAGTTATTAAGCAATTAAATCCAATGTACAGGATTCCCCCGAGCCATGTAACACTTCGGACCCCGAAGGCATTTTTTATTTTCATCATCCGGGGAAGATGCGATTCTTAAAAATCCATTAACGTAATGCCATGGCGGTAAAGCGTATTTTTTCCCCAAATGACACTTCTTTGCAGATGTCATTAAAGGAGCAACAGATGAACTAAGGAAAGAGCCTTACTTGATTTCTAGCCGCCATCAACACCGCCACCCCCAAAACTGGCTGGGAGACAACCTCTCTGAGTTCTCATGTCTTCAGCAGTAAGATGAGAATAATAACAGTGTTTCCTTGTATCTTTTTTATTTATTTATTTTGGTTTCTCGAGACAGGGTTTCTCTGTACCTTTGGAGCCTGTCCTGCAGCTAGCTCTTATAAACCAGGCTGGTCTCAAACTCGCAGAGATCCGTCTGCCTCTGCCTCCCGAGCGCTGTTATTAAAGGTGTGCGCCACCAACACCCGGCCTTTGTAACTTTTTAAAGATGTGACATTAATTAATGTGTGTCAAGCGTTTGTATAGGCCTGACATGTGCTCAGGGACCCAGGAAACTCACAACATGATAACTGCGTCATCATTGGCCACACTGCCATCTTTAATTGCCAGTGAGTTCTAAAAGCAAGTGATACGCAGTCCCAGATGGGAGACCTGAGTCACATTCTTTCTCCTTAATTACCCAGGGGTGATGAGCTCGCACCCCATTGTACTTGTATACACCCCCAAGCAATCCTCTGTTCTCAGAGAAGCAGCATTAACCAAGCCTTCATTACAGACTCTACATATTGGCTAGAGATCTGAACAGCCACCACCCTACAGTAGAAACCTTTGCGGCACTTGGATCCAAAGCCCATGTTTTCTTGAAATATGTTGGCACCAAGTGGTGTTTCCTCCACCCACAGAGTGCCCTGCATGCTGCCAGCATTCGTGTGTAAGTATTTAGAGGAGCGGAGAGCTGGACAGATTCTATACAGCTCACCACAGCAGCACTCTGTGAACCTTAATATGAAAATGAGCCTTTGTGAGTCCACAGCCAGGAATATAATAAACAAAAGTTGCATTGTGTGGGCCTGGGGGATGCCTCCAAGGAGAACTCACTTGCTATGGGAGCATGACAACCTGAGTTCAGATCCCCAGGGTCCATGTCAAAGCCAGACACCTCAACCTGCACTCTGTTTTGTGGGAGACGGGAGACAGAGGCAAGAGAATTGCCAGAAGTTAGGAGGCCAACTAGCCTGGTATATGTGTCCGTGAACAAGAAAGACTGCCTCGAACAACGTGGGAGACAAAGAATGACTTGTGAGGTCATCTGACCACATACATATCATGTCATGTGCCCCAAATTCACACACACACACACACACACACACACACACACACACACACACACTTGCCACATTGGTCAAGGAATTATCACTATAACCAGGAGGTCATACTGAGATGTGCTAGTCTAAGGGACTAGAGTCAGGCAGAGCCTGGGACAGCCAGAGGAACATACTTGAGGAGCGTGGGAGGAGATGCCCTGGGACCAAGCTAGGTCCCTCTCCTCCCTTAGGGCAGCTAGCAGAGCATACTGGGAACCTCTGCTTCCAGCCTTGCTCTGTCACCCCTGACCCATTGCTTGGTACAAACAATTCTTCTAAATAAAGAAACAAAAGGGCAAGATCCCTTCTTGGGAACTCCATCCCCGAAGCCAAGAAAACATTTTTTTCACTTGTCAAAGACAGGGCCAAGGCAGGGTTTAAAATGAGGCTCCAAGCAGGGACTCAGTGGGAGGATGTTCACACCCTTCTATCTTACTGCTGGCTTAAAAGAAAGAAAACCAAACATGGACTTTGAAGCCACAGAACAAGAATGTGCATCATTAGGATCCAACAGAATGGGCAGAACATTTCTAACCAAGAGCTAAGTAAATAAAGCTTAGGAATGGGGAAAGCTGATAAAGTTAATGCGGGTGGATGGGACACAGGACAGGCTCCAACAAGCCTAGTGTGCCTCTTCCTAGCAGCCGTACCTCCAGCCAGGCAAACCATTCCAAGACTGGTTTCCTACTCATTGAAGGACCAGGGAGATCACTCCCCAAAACACCGTAACACAGTGTGTTCTAATTTCATTCATTCGCTAATTCAGTACACACTTTCTGAAAGCCGACTGTGTGCTGGGTACATCCTAGGGTGGGGACCAGAAGTCAGTATAAGATGTAGCATGTAGGTACATGTGCACAGACATGTAGCATTGGTATTTGGCCTCAACCCCCTCCCCCTCAGCACACAGCTAACGGCACTAGGAGCTTCAGGATGGGGAGTGGTCTTCAAAAAGCCCAAGCCTCGGTTCGAAACTTAAATTTTCAGGTAGGATGAAGTCGAAATGAAGACCGAATACCTGGTGATAGATGATGTAATAAATCTCCCTGATGACCTGAGACCTCTGCCCAAACTCAAAACCACAGGGACCTGAGGGCTTCAGGATTGAGGTGCACACAGAGACGGGCGAAGACGGGCATCGTGAGTATTCTTCCCTGTGCCTGACTGGCTGGGCCAGTCCACAGTCTCCTGATAAACTCCTGCTGGGGCCCTTCCTGGAGAACAAGGCATTCCTCCAGGGATTTACTGAAACCACTCCGGAAACCCTGGGAACCTTTGCCACTGTGTTCAGTCCAGACACAAGTGTGGGTGTTGGGAACTCCAAGGCATTGGGTGCAGACCGTGAATGGCAAGACTCCAGGATGGTGTCACAAAACTGAAGAAGTGGCTGGAATTGGTAACACTTCTGGAGGAAGGGGACAGTGAGCATTTCTTCAAGAAAAAGATAGGAAACTGTCTTACTTTTACAAGGACTGGGTTTTTTTTTCGTGTTTTTGTTGTTGTTGCTTGTTGTGGTTTACCAAAATTATATAGACACTCTACCATTTGTGAACTGCATCTCAACAAGGTTGATTAAGACCCATTCTGTGACCAGGTAATGGAATCACTGGTGCCCTAAAGTGCAGGGTGTGAACCTTTATTACCTCTAGACAAGCCATTCCCTGGGTGGACAGGAAAGGTGCAGAGGGGACCCTGACAGAGGTCTCTCTCCACCTGAGCTGGCTTTTACTCCATCTTGGCCAGGGGTGTGGAAAGGAAATCACAGTTCACATGATAATCTCAGGAACCAATAAGAGCCACAAATTTCCCAAAGAGCGAAACCATGAGAAACCACCGTTCAGTGCCACGATGCAAGGCCTGGACGGGATAATTCCTCCCAGTACAGGCTGCCCCACACTGTAGGATACGCAAGGCGTTCAACAGCATCCTTAGCCTCCGCTGCTAGGTACTGAGATAGGGCAAGAAAAACCAGGTCCAGACACAGGCAAAGGTCCCCTTGAGGGCACAGTCTCCCCCAGGTGGAGCCTGTCTTAGAGGAAGGCATTTGATGCACACTGAAGAGAGTCAGTGACTTCAGAGATGCCTCTGAGCGAAGCCTGGGAGACAGGAAAAGGCCCGGTTTTATAGAAATGGAGGAAGCAAGGCAGGGGGGACACTCTGGGGGAAATCGAAGCCCCTGAGAACTAGCTGTGAGTAGATCCTGGGGGACTCGTGCTGGCTTGGAGAAGGCAGCAACCACACTGGGGGAGGAGTAGGGATTGGATTCTATGTGCCTTGAAGACTAGAATCAGGGGTGATATTGGTACAAGTGCATAAAGAGAGGCATGCTGCATATTCTTCCCCAAGGCTCTCCATGAGCTGTGTGGCTATTAAATAACACAGCTCAATGGTGGGAAGAATCCAATTCACGTGCCTGTACGAGAAGGAGAACAGATTGCTATCACTTCCCTTCACTGGCGTTTCCCATACACCACAGGTGATCCCAGGGAACAGCCACTCAGAAACTTAACACTCAGGCCTTCTTCCTTCAGAAACAGGTAAGACATTCCGCCCGCACTTCGCCTGGCTGGAATGCCGGTGCTCGGTGCCAACTGTCTCAGGTTAGACAGGGCT